TTGTCTGTTCTGTATTTTCATATTGAACAGATACAGTGCTCAGCATAATTGAGTACACCCCATTTTCAAAATGAATATTTTGATCCATTTCTTAGTAAATATACTGTAGGCAATGTATTTTGATGCATTTAAACAAAACAGATTTATTAAACAGATAAATTTATTAAAATATAATTTTAGTCACTAAACATTTTTAAATTCAAGCTAAATGTTGCAAAAAAAAAAAAAATTAAATAAATTACAACCTACAAAATTTCAACTAAGTTTTTCAAATTTTTTTTTTGCTTCTTTCGATTTTTCAAATTTGTATTTAATATTTCATTCAATCATTCTTTCATTAATTTTCTTTTCGGTTTAGTCCCTTTATTAACCTGGGCTAACCACAGTGGAATGACCCGCCAACTTATCCAACATATGTTTTACTTCCACTTCCAGCAGCAACCCATCACTTGGAATTAATAATTTTCTGTGACATAAATTTGGCTGCACTAGTTTTTGGACTGTTATCGTAAGTTATTTTAGTTAGATAAGCTCCAATTGTGGCTTCAATACTGACTAATCTAATGTATATGCACAAATACTGTATAATGTTATATAGCTTCCTATTAAAAAGATAAATTTAAAAGACAAATTTGTAAGGGGTGTACTTATATATGCTGAGACTGTACACATATTTATAAAACTGTAAGACTTTAATTGTAAGACTTTAATTGTTGCTCCAGTGAGTTGAGTGAAAATACACCCAAAACACACACGCACCACAGTTCCACTGAGTGAACACACACACACTGCTGCAATGAGTCAAGACACAAAGCACACTCATGCTTCATTACTTAGTACTCAGTACGAAAAAAAGTCCACAAAAGAGGTCTAATCCTCTCATATATGGCTCTGAAACTCTGGAAAAGCCGTCCTGACTTTCTCCGAGGCTCAGACACACTCTCACAGAACAAAACTAGATTAAAGACCTACCTTTTTATTAAAGCATATACACAATGCATCAGACATAGGATGCATGAGTGTGCTTCATTCAGGTAAGTGGGCTTGACAAACCACCTGTAGGACATACTCTTTTTATTACACCAGGCACTTGTTAGAAATACTGCTATGTTTTATATATTTCTTTTTATGATTGGTTTTATAACTCATTTGTTATTTATAGCACTTCATTTTCGCATTGACATTTAATATCTCTTGTTCAAATACATTATGAACAGCAGCTACGCTAATTCGTTTTTTGTTCTCCATTTCCACCTGGGGATGCCCATCCTGAGGCCTCATAGAGATTGAGGAATTCATTTTACTTAATTATTTTATGGTATTTTATAGTAACTTAAAAGGAAGAATTCAGGCAATAATACTTATTATACGGCACTGTACAGAATAACAAACAGGCCTTTTGTAACATATTTCCTGGATGTAATGGTTTAAGTGAGATATTTAAATAGATCTCTAGATTCAGCTCACTAAAAGCAATTTCAATTCTATACTGAAGGTGAGCTGGTGAGACTATGTTGAAAAATATTTGCATCATTTTTGACTCTTTAATGTATAATTCTACATTATTTGTTTATGCATTACGATGGAGACCATTAAATTCATATTTTCATTATTTTGGCTGAAGTCCAGAGCTGTCTGGACCAACATGAGGGTGAGTGCAATGCATAATAACTACATGTGTCATTTTGGCTGAACTAATCCTTATTCCTAATTAAGAATCTGCTTGTTTGTCATGCATTCTGTCAGTAAATCAAGTGTGTGTAAGATTACTGGAGGTCAGCGAGTCTGGAGTGTGTCTGGATTCCTCTCGCATCGGCTCTTTCACTGTTAGATCAGAAGGAAAGCTTCATTTGGGACACACAGACACTCTGGAGAGCCGGAGAGAGGAGACACTGATTAATCTGTTCCACTCCAGCAGATGGAGAGACTGAGCGAGAGAATTCCCTGCGAGAGACCCCTGGGCTGATATCAGAGGCAAACCACCCATCAGCCGCTAACAAACACAGATAAGAAAAGAGAAAATGCTGCTTCATTAATGCTCAGAGGATTCAGCTTAATTGCAGAGCAGAATCGAAGGCATTCTGATAGAGGAGAGAGAAGGACGACACTTCTGTCAGACCACAAATATAATGTGTAATATGTATGTGCGTGTGTGTGTATGTATGTATGTAGACACATAGTTGAGAGGACAAATGGATGGATTGATATATAGAATGCATGGATGGATATATATAGGCACATGGATAGGTGGATATATATATGCATATGGTTGGGTGGATGAATAAATGGATAGATTGATATACACACACACACACACACACACACACACACAAACACACACACACATATATATATATATATAGGGCAAGGAAGGTAGGCGCAGTGGGTAGTGCTGTCGCCTCACAGCAAGAAGGTCGCTGGGTCGCTGGTTCGAACCTCGGCTCAGTTGCCGTTTCTGTGTGGAGTTTGCATGTTCTCCCTGCCTTCGCGTGGGATTCCTCCGGGTGCTCTGGTTTCCCCCACAGTCCAAAGACATGCGGTACAGGTGAATTGGATAGGCTAAATTGTCCGTAGTGTATGAGTGTGTGTGTGAATGTTTGTGTGAATGTTTCCCAGAGATGGGTTGTGGCTGGAAGAGCATCCGCTGCATAAAAACTTGCTGGATAAGTTGGCAGTTCATTCGGCTGTGGCGACCCCGGATTAAAAAAGGGACTAAGCCGACAAGAAAATGAATGAATGAATATATATATATATATATATATATATATATATATATATATATATATATAGTTGATGTCAGAATTATCAGCCCACCTGTTTATTTTTTCCCGTCAATTTCTGTTTAGCGGTTTAACACATTTCTAAACATAATAGTTTGTTCTGTAGACAGTCTAAAAAAATAGCTTAAAGAGGCTAATAACTTTGACCATTAAAAATTGTTCATAAAAATTACAACTGCTTTTATTCTAGATAAAATAAAACAAATAAGACTTTTTCCAGAAGAAAAAATATATATCAGACTTACTGCGAGAATGTCCTTGCTCTGTTAAACATCATTTGTGAAATATATAAAAAAAGAAAAAAAATCAAAAGGGGGCTAATAATCTGACTTTAACTGTATATCAATCAATACACCAATCAATCTTCCCATCCACCCATCTATCCATGTGCCTATATATCCCTTCCATCCATTAATACATCCCCTCTTCTGTATCTTCAATCTGCTATCAGGACATTCAAATTCTAACAACAGAAGGCATCTGAGTGTATTTAACAAGAATACTCTTGAAGGCAACAGATCAACAGGGTCTGTCTAAAATGTCTGTCTGGTGTCAAGGTTTACCAGCTGGTTAATTGTGTAGATGTTAAAGTATGTGTATGTACAAATCATGCTTGTCCTTTGCATGCTGGTGTCAAAACAGAAATGAAAGTTCATCATTTACTCACTCTTCACTTGTTCAAAACCTTATTTGAATTTGTTTAAAGAATGCTGGTAACTGGCACCTATTGACTTACATAGCATTTTTCCCTACTATGGAAGTTGATGGGTGTCAGCAACCACATAAAAAAATCTTCTCATAACAATTTGAAACCACATGAACGAGAATAAATGATGAGGTCATTTTCATTTTTGAATGAACTATCCTTTTAAACATTCATATACTTAATCATTTAACTGCGCAACAAGAAACCTTCTAGATTTCGGAGTACTTTTCTCACTAACACTATAGTAAAATACACAAACACACACACACACACGCACACACGACAAACACTCATGACAATAGTAAAGCAAACAGATGTGACTCATTTCCAGAGGATCAACCCAACATAACAGAGCTCATATTCAGCTGTTCCTTTCATCCACCGTCCCAGAGACACCTTAGGCAAACAGCAGCCAAATTCAAAATGTACTTTCATACGTGCAGTTTTCATCTCTATGAGGCAAAACACACAACCAATTACGCTCAAGGTCATGTGATTCAGAAAGGCTTATAAATACCATATTAGGTTATTCAGAAGTTTATCATCAGACCAGGAAATACTGACCGTGTGCAATCTTTTGTGACCTAAATAAATGTTTCATTTGTGACCCTGGACCACAAAACCAGTCTTATGTGATACGGGTACATTTTTGGCAATGGGTCAAAATACCAGACTTTTATTTTATGCCAAAAATCATCACAATGTTAAGTAGAGATTATGTTCCATGAAGATTTTTACTAAATTTAATTCTGTAAGTACATAAAAACTGAATTTATGATTAGCAATTTGCATTGCTAAGAGTTTCATTCAAAGAAATGTAAAGGTGATTTTCTGAATATTCAGTAGTTGTAGCTTTTTGAACCCAGAAATTAGTGATTTTCTCAGCCAAAATGTTCTAACAAACCATACATGGAACACTTTTATTTATTCAGCTTTCAAATCATGCATAAATCTCCACAAATTTCCAAAAATGTTCACTTAAGACTGGTTTTCCAGGGTCACATCTGATAAATTAAGTACATCACAGAAATAATTTGACTAAATCAGTTAGGTTACATCAAAAAGCATAATTCTATAAGTCAAGGCAAAATAGTTGATCCTTTAACAGTCTAAACTGAGATACCTTAGTGAAATAAAGCAAAAAATCTTACCTTTTTCAGCAGCCAAGGTCAACAGACACAATAATTTAGCACTGATTCCAATATATATTTCCATGCAACCTCCAGAAGTAACTGTTTACTGTCACAGGTTGCTTCCCCGCAAGTGAACCGCCTAAAGTTCATGACAAATCATGCAGAAAACCAAGCGAACGCCCAGAGTTTGCTCATTAACTAGATGTCGAACAGCCACTTTCTCTCTACAAAATCAAAACCTGTGAGGAAAAGGCGAGCATATTTAAATTCACTGTAGTGTAAAGGTCCTGTACAATGGAGTCTTTGTGTATAATCGGCTTCCCGGCATCCCTTTGGAAACTGCTGAAGTGTGATGCAAATGAACAGACACAAACATTTTCATACTGATTGCATCTTTTATTTCCACGATGATTAATAATTTCAGATCCTGACGTATTGGATTGTTTTTTTTTTACAATATATGTAGCGTTATTAGTTCAGATCACAGTTGGCTAATAGATGCAAACGCTTCTTTTGAACACAATACTTGCTATATTTTCAAAGGCATTAAAAGAACCCAAGAAAACAAGCGCATCTGCTTCTCTCCAGTCCAGTGAAAAGTCTGCGTTTTTTTTTCCATCAAAAGACTCACCGTTTACCTTGGTCTTACAGTAAGGGTTGGTTTAAAGGTTTCGAACTGTAAATATGCAGCATACAAAAAACATGTCCTCATAAAAACAACAGTCAGAAGGCACTTTGTTTGGTACAAGAGAACAAAACGAAATAAAAAAACAAAAACAAATCACAGTTGTTGGAACTACTGATGAAGACTGCCTGCATAGCCTGAACTGAAAAACAAAAAGTTGAAAGTGTTTACACGCCGGTCCAGAAAAATAGCATGTCTTGTTGATCTTTTTTATATTCAAGAATATTAAACTCGTGTTTCTTAAAAAAAAAAAAAAAATGACGCTTTGTTTTACTTATTTTCATTGTGCGTCAAAAGGTGAACTCAGATGTGTATTTGCTTGCCAAGGATTATTGTAGGCCCTTGGTCCATTGAGGATCTGGAGTAGTTGGTTGGATGAATGGCATCCTCTGAAGGCCAGAACTGAACGGACGGACGGATGGATGGATGATGGATGGAGGGTGGTGTTTTGGAGGCAGTGTTGAGCCCGTGTGCTACCTGTCCCTCAGGCTCTGTAACACACTGTAAACGTCAGTCTCTCGGCTTAGGCCTTCAAACAGTGGCAGTAAATCCAGGAGCTCTGTGTCTGTCATGTCATCAAACCACGACTGAACTGGCACCTGCACACACATAAACAGAAGCATGTTTGTTAAGCTAGTAAGTGTGTTTAAATTTGTTTAATGTGTGTTATTACAGAAATTTCCTATCTCTGTGAACTAATTAACTTACTAACTAACTAATTAGGTTAACTAACTAACTAACTAACTAACTAACTATCTAACTAACTAACTAACTAACTAACTAACTAACTAACTAACTAACTGTCTGTCTGTCTGTCTGTCTGGTCGTCCCTTAGTTTGTTAACTAGGTTAATTAGGTTAACTAGGCAGGTTAAGGTAATTAGGCAAGTTATTGTATGAGAATGGTTTGTTCTGTAGACTATCGGAAAAATATACCAAAAAGGGCTAATAATTTTGACCTTAAAATGTTTTTAAAAATTAAAAACTGCTTTTATTCTAGCCTAAATAAAATAAATAAATATTTTTTTTCTCCAAAAAAAAAATATTACAAGACATAATATGAAAATTTCCTTGCTCTGTTAAACATCATTTGGGGGGGTTATACTTTACACAGTTATACTTTAACTTTATCTAAAATAAATTGTATATAAAATTATTATTTTAGAATTATTTAGGAAAGGACAGTACTACTACTTTTATTAATATTAACATATATACTGCATTTCCAAGTACTGGGTTGTTATAGAGGGCCAGGAGTGCCAGTTAGAAATAAAACGAAGAATCAATTTGATAATTGATGTACATGAATGTATATAAATAAATCACAATTAAAATGAGCAATTAATGGACAAATAAATAGACATATTTAAATGTGTTTATTAAATTGTGTGCGTAAATGTCATTTAATAAAACAATGCATTTAAAAATAAAATTTAAATGTTGTTATGATTTATGTTTTCTTTCTGTCTTTTTTTCACCCTCCTCTCCGTTTGCTCAACCCTTAGGTTTCTTAATGGTTTATTATTCAGTCCATCATCATTATGGCGCTCTCCGGTTCCACCAATCCCAGGACGAGCCGCAAGGATTTAAAGCCCTGTCAGATCAGTGTGTAGTGTGCGCTCTGCCTCGGCGTACCCTTTGTGCTCCACGCAATTTGTTTGTGAAAATGCTTCGTCTATTTAGTGATTTATTTCAGTTACTGTGGTAATTCGAGTTTGCTTGTTGAACTTTGTTGGCTTTAAGTAACATAATATCATGGTTGTTGTGTGATTCTAAACTAAGCTTTGACGGACTTATCCGGTTTGGTTTGTTTTAGTTTAGATTGATGTTTTTTTAGATTATTTTGAGTGTTTTGCCACCCGTGTATTTTGAGTTTTGTAGTGTAATTAGTTTAGTTCGAGTGTCGTATACACTGAAGATCTCCGTTTTTTATTTTGTGTTTCTTTTTGACGCCTAATTTAGACTTTAGATTTAAGGATTGTTTTGTTTTGTTAATTTCTTTGATTTGGCTTACACTTGTTTTTTTGTTTAAAGGTAAAAATTATAAATGTTTATCCCCCCCCCCCCCATTTGTTATTGTTACATGTTTCAATTATTGAGTAAAAAGCTTAGATAAGAGTAACTGATCCTTGCCTCATTCTTGATCTGTCGCACACATTACACCTGTCTCACTTAAATGTCACAGCATCCCACTTTAACATCATAAACACGTAACAATGTATAAATAGAAAATTTTATAAATGTTGATTTAATTCATGTTTTGGAAATGCAGATTAATCAGACAATAAAAATCTATATTTATAGGTCATTTAAAATGCATAATTTAAATAGCTTTTTTAAAAAGGCATTTGGCAAGTGCTTTTCTGTTTATTTGCTACATGCGTTGCTAGAGTTGAAAATAAATTGAGTTTAACTTTCAACTTTCGCCTCAAGTCGAATTAAACGCTCTCTCACTTGCAAAATGAAATGGTTTAGAGTTAGTTAGTTAGTTAAGGGTTATGATTTAAAAATGCTTTATTAAATGACATTTAAACTAACAAATTAAAAAATACATTTAAATATATCCAATTAAATTGTGATTTATTTATACACATTTTAATGCTTCAATTATTAAATGGTTCAATCGATTCTTCATCTTATTTCTAACTGGCACTCCTGGTCCTCCTTAAGTTGTGGCAGGAAAGACATAAAACATATACCAGAGTAGTCGGCACTTGTGGCAACCCCTGACAAATTAGAGACTATGCCGAAGGAAAATGAATGAATATATACTGTATAATATAACCTTATAGTCTTATACATTTAAAACGTACAGTCAAAATGTCATTCTGATTTCATACTAATTAATTGTGCAGGCCTATGAAGCAATGTTGACAGATAAATGCACACACCGTATACAGTTCTTATGCCAGTCATGTTTGGTGTCCTGAGAAGAGCTCTCTGTCATCTCACAGATGACAGGCTTTAATCAGCACCTTCAGCTCATTAGTGTGAATAGAGAAGAGCAGCTTCTAATCTAACAGGAGGGATGGAGACGCAGCTCCTCTCACCACAGAGTCGCTCTATAATTGATGAGAAGTTTTGACAAAGGAGTGCGGAGTGCCAGAGGCTGGATTTTTCCTCATTAGTTCAGCTGGAAAAAACACAATCTTTCTAGGATAAAACCCCAAAAACGCACACAGTTCTCAGATTCAACAAGCCGCCTTTAATATTCACCTCATTCTGCGCTTGATTGGTGTGTTTCAGAGATTGGGTAATTTGTATAGTTTCATTCAAAGAAACTTAAACAAATCACTTCAACTAATAGGACTGTGTTACTAATAATCCACATCCAGAGCCAGGGATTCTTTAGACCTTTTTAAGACCATTCTGGACTAAATTTAAAACATTTTTAATGAAAAATCGATTGAAAACAGTTGAAGGCAATTTTATTAACCCTCCTGAGAAATTATAACTGTTTTTCAAATATTTCCCAAATATTTTCAAGGAACATTTTAACTGTATTTTCTATTACAGTAATATACATAATAAATACATCATACATAATAAAAACATAATAAATACAATTCAACTTTTAATAATTGTTGTTCACATTTAATAATATTAATAAAAAACATTTTAAAAAGTAAAAAAAAAAGTATATAAAAAGTATTTAAAAAAGTATATTCTGACATTCACATCTGTCAAAAAAAAAAACAAGGTTTATGTTTTAAATAATAACTCCAACTCGAATTGAGGCATTTATTTTAGGCCTGTATAAACTATCCAACGTCTTTGCAAATTAATGCAATACTATATGTAAAAACAAAATTATTATATACTATAGTAGCCTACAGTATATATATATATATAAAAAGGTCAATACTGCCTTGTCGTTTATCATCTTATTCAGCGCGCACGCATTGAACCGCATGTGACAGACAGAGGAAATGAATTAAAATAACATAGGCTAGAATTAAAATAATATAGCCCACTTTGCAGCTTTCTGTAAAATTATAGTAGGCCTACATATAAAAACAGCACCGGACTGTTTCTGAGTGTTTCGCTGGTAATGTCATTAAATAAATAATTAGGCCTATTTAATTATTCATCTATTATTTATGTACAGTAATTAAGACATAAAATGAGATAGTAAAATATAATCAACAACGAAAATGTAAATTAAAACCGTAAATGAAAACGTAAATAAAAAAAACTGTACAACTCTCTATATTTAGGCTAAAACACTGCTTTATTAATTACTTTATTTACTTATTTATTTATTTATTTATTTATGCCTACTTATTTGTATGCATGTTTGTACTTTTATTTTAGTTGTATTTTATTTATTTAATTCTACTTTCCAAAATGATTCCTCATTGCACTTAGTAAGTTTAAAATGATAATAAAGCATGTTGACAAATTTTTAATGATTAATGAAGGAATTATAATGCTTTGTTTTATTGTTTATCTACATATCTTCATCTTTCAGTCGCAAACTGAAAAAAAAAAAAAAACATTCTTGCTGCTTTAGAGCGGCGGCAGTAAAGACATGGCAGTAATGCTCATTTTAAAGTGTCACCCACTGTATATTTTTTTCTCTTGGAGAAAGTCTTATTTCTTATAGTTTTGCTGGAATAAAAAAAAAGAAATAATGCCAATCTTATTAGCCCAGTATATTTCATTTTTTTCTACAGAACAACCCACTCTTGTCCAATGACTTGCCTAATTAACCTAACTAGCCTAGTTGACATAATTAACCTAGTTATGCCTCAGACTACTCTTTAAGTTAAATACTAGTTCCTGGCAAAATATTATGTACTGTCATCATGGGAAAAAACATAAATGAAGTTAGTCATAAATTAGTTATTAAAACGATTATGTTTAAAAATGTGTCGGAAAAATATCACCATCTCCATTAGCACCAGATGCTAACCCTACACTAGATGCCACATGACATGTCTAAAACACTATTTTATGTATTTTGCTATACAGTGCTCAGCATCCAGAATACGAGTACACCCCTTACAAATCTCTCATATAAATTTATAATATAAATAAGAAGCTTTACAATATTATATTTGTGCATATACATTAGATTTGTCATCACTGAAGCAAAATCTGAAGTTAATCTAACGAAATAACTTACGATGACGGTCCAAACACTAGTACATCCAAATTTATATGTTATAGAAAATAAAAAAGAGGAAAAATCTAGAGAAGCAAGAAATTAGAAAAAATATTGTAGGTTGTAATTTAAATGTATTATCTTTCAATTGCTAATTTTGGTTAGGGACTAAAATATTATTTTAATAATAATTCTGACTTAAACTGTATATTGTTTTAATAAATCTGTTTTGTTTAAATGCACAAAAATTCATTGCCTATATCCACTGAGAAATGGATACAAATATAAATTTTCAAAATAGGGTACTGAGCACTGTGTGTGTGTGTGTGTGCGTGCGTGCGTGCGTGCGTGCGTGCCTATGTATTTTAAAGTGAATAAGATATTTACTGAAACATCACAGTAATGGCTTTAACAAATTATTAATTTGGTAACACTTTATTTTGATGGTCCATTTGAGTATTAGTAGACTGTCTGCTTTATATCTGTTGATATT